GTCTTAGTTTCAGTTCATAATGATAAACTAACTAGGAAACACATTCAAACATTAAAACTTATGATTATACACTTTGCTCAACATAATACAAAGTGTTATGATATTTACATGTTGTTGGTAAAATTTAGCAATTCTGCCCTGTTTTGGAAAAATCATAGAAAAATCATACGAAGTCGAAAACTAGATCCGTAAATTCTGAGAGTTCACAAAATGTGTCTAGTTTGCTCATAATTTTTATCACAATTTATAATGACCTCTAACTTGGGTGAAAAAGTCCATAATCACAGACTGGTCCGGATTGTTGTTTGAAGTGATAGGCAGTTTTGTAAAAATCGCCATAAATTGTAGAAAAATCGTATGGAGATGTGCAAGTAGCCATTTTAAAGCTAAAAACTTGAACTATTTGCACCTTGTACAGTTTTGAAAACAAAAATGTGTAAGATGCCCAAAACAGTCCGTGAATGGAGTTGAACTTTTCTGATGAAGGCTGTTAGAAAACTTTTGATAGGTTCTTAGTGTTTTAACTTGTATTCACCCCCTGAAAACTTGAGAAATCATGAAAATGTAGGGGTATGAACTCACCTTGAGTGATTTCAGTAGATGATTGTTGAAGAATGGAAGTGTTTAATTCAAGAACACTTGGAGATGCCTTGAAGGTTTTCGAGAATCTAACATCATAGTTAGGGAGTTTGTGTAAGCAACCAAAGATTTGAGTAGAATGAAGCGAAATAATAATAGGGAGGATGAATTTTTACTTACTAAGTGTGGAAGAACACTTGAATCCAGCCTTGGATCTCGAAAATTTGTGTAGAAGAGTTTGAGAGAAAGAGTGATGTTTGTTACTTAGTGGGATGAGAGAAATGAGAGAAAATGAGGAGTGTGGTTGATTGTTCCAGCTCAAAAACGTGGGAGTGAGTGAAATTTGAGTGTAAGGGACATTGAAGTGACATAGGTAAGGTGGGGAGGTATGGCTGGTCATAGAGTGGGTGTGGGGTGGTTGCTTGTGACTGCGGATCAATGACACTGCTTTGAATGCGAAGTTGGATTTAGCTTTGCTATAAGTTTCAATCGATTTTGAAATTGAGTATTGTTCGCATTTGTATGAGTGTAGTCGATGAATCGATAAAGCAAGAACATATGAGTTTTGATTCGCAATTGGATTGATGATTGAGGGATGATTCGTGAAGAAAAAACGTGAAGTCAAGGACTATGAAACTGTTGTTTGCAAGAATTTAAAAAAACTCGATTGTGGAGTTGTTGATGCTCATTTTGCGAAAGTAAAACAATCGAGTGTTCGCATCTATGAATCAATTTGAAGTCAATTGGGTTAATATTCGCATATGGGTTCAACATATGAATTTTTGATTTCGCAAGTTTAGAGTTCATGAACTAAACTGTGTTCGCATTTTTTTTTTTTTTGGAATGAAAATTTTGTGAATCGCATTTGATTTATTTGGTTAAAATGCGAAGGTGATTAATGCGAAGGGATGCGAAAGGTGTAAAAATGAAAATGCGAAGTATTTCTCAGTAGAATGCGAATTGGGGAAGAAAACAGAAGATTTCAATTATTGTCCCTGGAGTTTCGCATTTTTGGAATGAAAATTTTGTGAATCGCATTTGATTTATTTGGTTAAAATGCGAAGGCTTAGGAAATTTTTTTAACACAAACTTTTCTCCTGTGATGTTTTCCCATTATCATAACAAGTTATACAATACGAACATAACACTTACCATAAGGTTAGTTGAGCTGACCGGTTTGACTCGTTGACTTTATTTGACTTTGAATTGACCAGAATTTGACGGTTGTCACAATTATGTAGGTTATTGACCATTTAGAAAAAAAAAACATGGAATGGAAAGAAGATAGCAGAACAAGTTTAGTAATTAATTTCAATGAGAATTAATGCTATCTTCCAATGATAGTTTTTTTTTGTAGCTTTTGTCTCAATGATCATTTTGTCTATAAATGTTTGTTTACTTGAAGGTCACAAAAATATTTTCTAATCATACATTTTTGTGCATATATTTTTGAAGCTATCAGTTATGATTTAGGTTTGTTTGTTATTTTCACAGAGGTCAAGCGAGAATTGAAACCATAAGGACATAAATGTGTTTCTCCAATGGTCCTTATGCTTTCAAAATCTTGTGGTCTTTTTTGTTTCAGTTTTATTATAATTTTCAGAAATGATCCTTACAATTTATAACAAAAAATTATTAACCTTTTGTCTTCGGGGGAAAAAGTCTTTTTTACCTTGGACTTAACAAAAAAATTATAAAGACCCGATGTGATAGATTTTGAAACAATAAGCACCGATGACATTTTTTTAAATAGGGCTAAACACGCAAAAGCTAAGGTAGTAAATCGGGCAATCATGTTGTGTTTTTATCTATCACGATAATATTTTATGTAACACGATGTCGTGTTTTTTTAACGAACACGAAAACCAATCAATTAGAAAACGAGTATGCATGTGGTTGGGATTGAAAAATAGTTTAGGGTTGAGGCTGGGAAAAAAGTTGGGTTTCTTGAACTGACTCAAACAGATCAAAATCAAAATTTGAACGAGGCAATGGTAGGATTGAAAATTAGTTTTTTTTTTTAACCGACAATATTATTAATAAAAAAACCACCTCCTAGCAAGTTGTCAGGAGGCAAAAGTACAATTTTTAAAAGAGAATATTATATACAATGAAAAGGATTAACATGTCATTCAACCTATCAAAAAGTATAATGAACTCTCATATGCTTAATTCATGTAAAAACAATGGACTTTACTATGTCAGACACTTTGGTAGGGAGAGTTCGTATCTTTTAGAAGGTCCAGTCACACCTTGCTTTTCAAATGAGCCAAGCCGTCCCATACCGTATACTAGTTAAACTTTTCCTTTGTTTTAAACATGTCCCCATTGGGATACAAACTTCACCGGTTCCTCAATAGTTGAGATTGGAATTGGTTGAGATTGGAGTTGAAAAGATTGGTAAAATGGCATTGGTTCAAATTGGAATTGAAAAGAGTACGTATTAAATGGATACATGTGTGGAGTCATAGTAGGATAATAGTAACTAGTTGGTGAATGAATGAATTGATCAAATAAATATCGATAACATGTTGGTGATAGAAGGTTTAGTGATTGAGGGTTTGGAGGTGGAAGGTTTAGTGATGGGATATTGGAAGATTTTTTTTCGTCACGTTTTGTTTTGGCTTAAGTGAAAACATCTTTGTTTGGTGAATTGAAAGTATTTATTTATCGGGTTTGGATTGAATTTTAAAATATAATGGTAAAAAATATTTTATTTTTAAAGAAAATGAGGGATTTTTTTTAAATGGTGAATGTGAAAGTTGGATATGGTCAAAATAAAATGAGGGATTGAATTTTAAAATATAATTGTTTATTTCCTTGTTCGAACCTTCGTAAGCTTTACGAAATTATTCAAACACATCGATATCAAAAACCAAAAACCACCACATCCAGCCAAGTTTTTTAGTAGAAACCAATATGGAGTTATCTATCATGCCAATTGTGTGACTTATATTATATCATCTTAATGGTTATAAATTAAATTTTTTTTAGTCGAGCACTTTATATAATCTAATATTCTAATGATATTTTACACTTTATAAAGAATTATCAATGGATTTCTTTTTCGAAAATTAACTAAAAGTACATAGGCGTTACTTCATCAGAGCATATGTGTGCATTCTTTTGGGAATATATAGGTAGGCCTGGCTACTTTCTAGTGTCACATGACTTAACTTTTTGGTTCTGTAGACAAATTATGATGTTTTTGAAGTATAACATTATGTTAAACCACTGATTTTAGGCTTTATATTCACTTAATTATTAATCTATTAACCCTAATTTTCAAATATGGTCGAAGCTCGATTCGAAATGGGAACAAATATATAAATTTATTTTGGACATAAACCCTTGTCATGTCTCGAAACTTACCAATTTTTGAGTACCAAAATATTAAATAAATCAAAATGTTTCCCACAAGTTAAAGAATTAATGCTTTGGAAAACGTAGTTAACTAAATAAACCACAAGTGCCTTCTTTCTTTTGATTCTTTTAAAGTACTTCTGAGTAGTTCATAACTCAAGAAACACAGAAAGGGTCTCTTTTTGCAATTAACAAATTAATTTCTCTTTTCTCATATTCCAAGAAAGCTTAAGGTTTATGTGATGTGTATTTGTATTGAAAAAAAAAAGGTACATATTTTACTTTTTCTGAATTACCATTTTTACCCCTCTTTTCAGTGACTGCTGCTGCTACATTACATTAGCCTTATTGTATCCTTCTTTCTGCTAGTCTGCAGTATCCAAAGCTTCACTCAAGAGATGACTAAAGATGAAGACTTCAAGCTCCTCAAGATTCAGGCCCACCTCATTTTCTTTTTTCTTTTATAATTTGTTTTTTTACTTCTTCATGTTCTTGTTCCTTATGCCTTCTATATTTTGATTTTTGAATTTTGTTTTGGTTTCAACAGACATGCATTCTGAGAGTGAACTTGCATTGTGAGGGTTGCAAGCACAAAGTCAAGAAAATCCTTCAGAGAATTGAAGGTGGCTCCTCTTTCTTCCTCTTGAATCTTGAGATTTGTGTCTTTAGTGATAAATTAGCAAATTTTGATATGGGTTTTCGTGAAGTTTCAAAATTTATGCAAAATGTGGTGCTCTAGTGATATAATCTATGGCAAAACTCTTCTTCAGAACTTAAATCTGTGAATCGAGAGAAATAAACAACTTTCAGTACATAATGTACAATTGATGATTGCACATTTGCTTAGAGTTTGGGTATTTCATGTTTTACGTGGTGGGATTTTGATAAAGATTGAAATTTACAGAAATCTTGTAACATTTGCTTATACCTTTTTTTTTCTCAGAACCAGAGCTCCTAAATTCATAGGAACGTACATCTCTATTGCATGATGTACAAGTTATGAATGCAGTTTTTTGGATTTGGGATTTTCGGATATGGTTTTTTTTGTACAAATTCTGATGCACGAGGTACAAATCAGTATAATATTGGCTGTAAATGTTGCAGGTGTGTATCAAGTGAGCATAGATGCAGAGCAGCAGAAGGTGACTATTTCAGGAAGTGTAGATTCAGCAACTTTGATAAAGAAGCTTGTGAAAGCTGGTAAACATGCCGAAATTTGGTCAAACAACAACCAAAGTCAAAGTCAAAGTCAAAATCAAAATCAGCAAAATCAGAAAGGTTCTAACACGAAAGATGACAAGAAAAACAAAACCCAGAAAGACGATTTCACCAAAAGCCTTGAATCCATGAAAAAACAGTCAAAGCTTCAGCCTTTGACCTCCGGAGAAGATGACGATCCATTTGAAGATGACGAGGATTTGAGGTTTCTGAAAGGGAAAACAAATCAATTGGGGGTTTTGAGGCAGAATCAGAAACAACAACAAAAACAGCAAGAATCAAATGCAAATTCCGCCAATAACGCGAGGAATTCCAAAGCTAAAACTCAACCCAACAATGGAAGTGGCAAGAAAGTTCAGGTCAATGTGGGAGGGCAAAAAGGCAATTTCGAGAATTTGAATGAGGGCAAAACGGTAAATGAGTTGAGCTCCATAATGAACAATCTTGTTGGTGGTGGTGGAGGGTTTGAAACGCCTGAGAACGGTGGATTTGCAATGGCTACCGGTGGTCAACAGATGATGAACTTTAACATGAATGGGCCTGGGCTTGGGCTAGGGTACAACCAGCAGCAGCAAGAGTACAACTCCTCTGCTGCTGCTGCATCAATGATGATGAACATGCAAAACAGGCAAGCAATGTATCAGAGGTCACCTATGATGCCACCAACCACTGGTTATTACTACTATAATTACAATCCTGCCCCTTACACTTACAGTGAGTCCCCTCATGGCTACTACTACACTAATACCAATGGTGGTGGCAACATGTTGAGTGATGAGAATACAAGCAGTTGTTCAATCATGTGAGGGGCAAAAGTGGGAAAAAAGATTAGATCTTTTAGAAAGTATTTGTGTGAAAGAAGTTTAATGTACTTGTGGATGTTGTTGGTGGATATTTTGTTGCCAAATTTAGTCTTGTGAAAAACAAGTGGTTCTTGTGTCTAATTTGACATTAAGTTTTAGTCTTTTAGATGTAAACAATCTATGGTGGTGGATCTTGAAAGAACCTCACATTGACTTAGATTGATTTTATCTGTTGCTCTTTAGCGGATTTTGTTTGTTTGGTAAACAAAAAATTATTAAATGTGGATTAACTCTTTCTTTGTCTAATTATGTTGAGCCTGTTTAGATATAAGAACGTGATAAAGTTAATTTTATTAACGAGGTTGGAATTTTTCTAAATTTATTAAATTCATTAAAAACTATATTTAGAGGGTGATTGGAATAACTTTTAAAACAACTTTTAATTTTTTCAAAAAGTTAGAAAAGATACAAAAGATGTTTGGGTATTAAAAAAAATCTTTTAAAATGACTTTTTGTATAGAAGAAAAAAAGAGTGTTTCAAAAATCACAAAATTCTATCTTTTTGTGATTTTTTAATTTGAAAAGTTAGTTTTTACTTTAAAAGCAAATACAAACACTTTTTAAAGATTTTCTTTTGACAAAAATCACTAGCCAAAAAATCCTTTTAAAAAAGAACTTTGAAAAGTTTTCCCAAACACCCCCTTAACATCAACGTTCAAACATGTGGTTTTCTCTATGAATTTGTTTCCAAGTAAGTAAATATTATGCAACGCTAATTGAAGTAAAATAGTCGCATCATAACAAAGATAATGTGTCAATGTGGTGTGTAATACTAGGGTAGGAAAGATAGATATGCGATTATGAAGGATTGAAATGTTCTCAAGTTAAAGAACGAGTATTCAAAGTGTAACTTACCCTAATCCTAAATTTAGTCCTGCGCTATCCTCTTGGCTCGTCGGAATCTTCTCAGGCCGGCGATAATGTTACTTCAAAACCACACTCCTCTGTTCTTCAACACCGCTGGCGGGAAACTCCCCATCCGTTTCGACGAACGTAACATTTTAAAACACAGACGATATCGAGTCTCGTGTTCGAATTCTTATTTGACGAACAAGGTATGTCGAAGCTTTCACAGGATACTCACTCTTTCCTCTTATATGCGGTCGTAGTATGTGTGTGAATTTTCGTTTGCGTTTGTGATAGATATTCAGATATTGTGTTTTGTTGCAGTGGAAGAGACAATACACTAGCGTTTTGATTGTGCCAACAGGAGTTGGTGCTTCGATTGGAGGTTACGCCGGTGATGCTTTACCTGTTGCTCGAACCCTAGCTTCAGTAGCCGACTGCGTCATTTCTCATCCCAACGTATGCTGTCTGCTTCTCTGTATTTCCTTTTCAAATTGTGATAATGTAGTGCTGTGATGATTCTGTTCACAGCTGCTAGAATTTAAGTTATCCCTTCCCTCCAAACCCTAGATGTTCTGTAACGATTGAACATTACAGGTTCTTAATGCAGCAATGCTCTACTGGCCAATGCCAAATGTCATGTACGTAGAAGGTTATGCCCTAGATAGATTCGCAGAAGGCTTATGGACACTACAGCCTGTTCACCAGAACAAGGTTTCCTACAAATCTATCGATTTATTTCATCCATGGAGTTAATACACACGCCATTACATAATATATGGTTACATTGTTATGATTTTGTTCATGTAATCAGGTGGGATTGGTTCTTGATGCAGGAATTGAGGAACATCTACGCATTCGTCATCTTCAAGTAGCAGATGCAACAAGAGCATCACTTGGTTTACCAGTTCTTGAGTATATTGTCACTGACACGCCTCTAGAGGTAAGAAAATTTCAATCTTTAGTTGAATACGAATCGAGTTTCTATGGATATATATCTTAAGTTTAAGAACTTGCAGGTGGAAAAGTGGATCAATCCGAAGAACGGACAGGCAACAGGGAGGATAAAACATCCTGATTCCCTATTAAGAGCTGTAGAAACATTGTGTGATCGATCTATAACTGCTGTTGCTGTTGTGGCTCGTTTTCCAGATGATGACATTGAAGATGTGGATGATTATAGGCAAGGAAAGGTAATATTAAGTTATTAACATACAATTGTTTCACATGAACATGCCCAAATTAAAATTTTGTATCTAAATTCTGTTTTATAAACAGGGGATCGATCTACTGGCAGGAGTGGAAGCCATTATAAGCCATCTGGTTGTGAAGAATTTCAAGATCCCTTGTGCACATGCTCCTGCCCTATTACCTCCTCCACTCACCAAGTCTTTATGTCCAAAATCTGCTGCTGAAGAAGTGAGTTGATACTTGTATATGTATATATATACACATTCATATAATCATACATACATCTAAAAGGGTTTTGATATGATTTTGGAAACAGTTGGGATATACATTCTTGCCATGTGTGCTTGCTGGCTTATCTAATGCACCACAGTACTTGACTAATGAGTATGAGTCTCAAAGAAATGGTTGTGTAGTGGGAAGTGATGTTGATAGTGTCATTCTTCCAGCAGATGCCTGTGGAGGAGATGGTGTTCTTGCATTTGCAAATAAAAGAAACAAGGTTAAATCTTTCATTTTGTTTCTGTTACTCTTCTGAATTATTCTGTACGTAATATGGATGATTATGCTGCTGCAGCCTCTGATTATTTGTGTGCAAGAGAATGAAACTGTGCTGAATGACACTCCTGATAAATTTGGAATTGATGTGGTATGTTGAAACAAGACAATGATCTTTACACATGATATAGGTTTTTTTAAGTCAACATAATGCATTGACTATGTCATATAAATGTAATTTATATTTGTTTTTGAAGGTGAAGGTTTCAAACTATTGGGAAGCTATAGGAGTAGTTGCAGCTCATAAGGCTGGAGTTGACCCAAATTCACTCAGAAGGGACAAAATCAAGAACATTAACACAAATTCCTTAATGCCTTATAATACCTGTGTAGCTTCAACTTCTAGAATATTTGCTTGATTATATCAACTCCATACATACTCATTTTCTTTTGGTAAGTAACTGCTTCATTGCCCTTTCTGTTAAAAAAAAAAAGGACAGGTTTTGTACTAGGTTTTGAGGGGGGATGTATATATATATATATATATATATATATATATATATATATATATATATATATATATATATATATATATATATATATATATATATTTACTATGTACTAGTAAAAAAAAGAGTATGATACTATAATAAACAAATAGATTGAAATATGTTATTATTTCAAGTTAGAACACAAAGAGTATGATACTATAATAAACAAATAGATTGAAATATGTTATTATTTCAAGTTAGAACACAAAGCACGTCATACAAGTACTAAAAGTGCTGTTAAAAACTTTGAGTAGTTTAAGATTGGTTGACCGAATAAAGTCAAACTTAAAAAGTGGTTCATAATTAAAGCACCATTTAATCAGGACCATTGACATTTGAGTGGAGCCTGCCTTTCATGTGAAGGAAATTTCAAGGCAGAAAAGCTTTTTATCATGTGATCTTGTGCAAATAATAACTTCTATATTATATAAATAATGACAGTACAACCAAGCGGCTACAATCATTTTAATGCTTTCATGCAATAATAACTTGTATATCACACAATACTAATTACATAAGCAAAGGTACGTATATATATAAAAAAGTGTACACTCATACAAAGGCCTCTTTCCACGTGCTCTTATTAATGACTTGTACTTTGTGCATTAATACTTAACCACACAAACGGGCATGCATATGATCTTTTTCAGGCAGAAGCCTCGTTTCATGTGCTGCTGTCATTCAGACTTGTAACTTTTGTATTAACATTCAAAGGAGATCTGAAAAAAGGACCATTTGTGTGACCCATACGCTAAAGAAACCAAAATCTGAACAGCTGTTGTGCATTGAGGACTTGTACTTGTGCATTTAAGTGAACCATAAGAATAAGATAAAGTAACCAGAATTTTCATTTAATAAAGGGCACATCTAATACACCAATAATTCACGTGGAATGTAATTTCCAAGCAGAAGCCTCACATGTACAAGTTGTCAAGTTCTTTCGTAAAAAAATCAAGAACCCCTGCCCAAATTTGTATACAAAAGAACATATCGAAGGGTGAATTTCACCCCAAAAATACATCAACAACAACCCCAAATTAACCAATCCTTCATAACCTTCTTCATAATTACGACGACCATTGATCAGGTACTGTGAGAAAATAACTCGTCATGGCCTTCCGGAACCTTCTCTTGTATTGTTTTGGAGAAATTATGGTTGGTGAAGCGTTTTTGGGCCCACCCAGAATTCCCGACGCCTTTACCCACGTTTCAAGCTGTTTGTCCCACGTGTATTGTCGCATGAAATCAATTATCCCCAAAACCAATTCTTTACTCTCTTCATCAACTCCAACCAGCAACGAATAATCCATCACGTCAATTGACTGCACAAAATAAAAATAATGTTTTAAAATTTAATCATTCTCGAGGGTAGTAAAGTGAAAATTCATATCATACTCATACATACCGCTAAGAATGACGTGTCGTTCCAAACCGCTCTTTCCAGGCTCCGTTTAGCTTTGCTTCCGAGAAAAATGGGGTTCGTTCGTAACGCCTCCAGCAAATTCATATCCAGAAGTGTTTTGTTTGCTCCGGTTTCCGAATTATAACGAGACCTCGCAGACCCTTTCAGATCATAAACCCTAGAAATACGTTTCTTGAAGAACAAATTCTCCATCACCATTACATGCATCTTCACTTCCTTCCCATTCCCACTTCTCAAATGCTTCACAGTCACCTGATAAATCCCCACGATTTTAGCAAGACAAGTAGGGCTCCCGGAGTTTAAGGAATCCGTCAAGTATTTGAAGTATTGTGGAGCGAATTCCTCGAACGATTCCAGTTCTGTTTTCGTCACTTGTTTTATGATAAACCGTTCGTCTAATGATTTCGCGAAATACACGTTGCTTTTCCCGCCTTGGGCGCTCCACCTCTTGCATCGGCTTAACGAACGCATGTAATCGAGCTCGCTAGGGCAACATTTTTTCCTTAAGGAATCGAATTGTTTCGCGAAGTAACAAGTCACTGAGAATTTCACCTTTTCGTCCTCGAATGGAATTGTTAAATGATGGGAGCTTTTGGAATCGGAAAACAACGATCCGATTCCGGTTGAAAGGTCTTCTGATTTGTAGTTTGAGTATTGGATGTAGTCAAGATCAACAGATCCGAAGGATTGCCAGCCTGAAAGCTTAGAAACGGAAACAGAATGGTTTCTATTGAGATACGGTTTATCTATGAACCATTCTTCGTATTCCTTTGAAGCAAGGGCGTATGATATGATGCTTGTGGGCTCGTTGTCATATACTGTAATGACCGTGTTTTGGGTGCCATAAGGAAGCATTAAATGGGCACCTTCTGGGAGAAAAGATGGTGGTGAAATGAACATCGGTTTGTTCCTCCATAAAAACTCCAACTTTTGATCTTCATTGGGGAAAACTTGAGAGTAACTCCTGTATATGTTGCGGATGGGGTCTTTATAATGTTTGGTATCTTGAAAAGACAAAGAGGGTGGAAGTTCTTTTTGGATTTGTTCTTGAAGGGACATTGCAGAATCGAATGAGTAAACCCTAGCAGGTGATGAAATTAGCCTTCTGAAATGTGGATTTGCAGGTTTGTTTCTTCTTTCGTGTTCATGTTCATCTATTGGTGAAACATCAAATGAAGCTCTCAAGGGTCCTGTCCATGCAGAATCGATTTTGTCAGATAGAAAGGATTCAGAGTCATCGGTTTCTTCATTGGATTCGATTTGATTGTAGTCTGATTCATTGATTCGGTCAACACTTCCTGCAAAAGTTGAATAACTTCTCCTGTGTTTGACCTCAACAGCATCTTTGGAATTAGAACCCTTTAGAGAGGAGAGCCTTCGATCCCAAACATGCAGACCAATCGTGAGAGAATGTCTCAATCGGTTAAGCTCAAACACGTCTATTTCAGCCACACTCTCATCATGAGAAGGTTGAAGCAGATCCTAATTCATAAAACAAACACATATGAGTCCTAAAAACCTATAAAAATCATATACCTTTTTACTTCCAAGATTCAAGGTTTCAAGATACTTACCATGTAAACATCTCTTTCTTTAATTAGCAAATCTTTCAACTCCTCCACATGTTTACTCAACTCACTTGAATCTGAAGCCTCATTTCCTTTGGCCCGATGTAATACTTCAGATATCTCATTATACAAAGCTTTCGCCTTGTTTAAAAACTAACACCCAGAAAAAAAAAACAAATCAGAATATAAGAGAATAATTTCAAATATTCAATAAAATGTAAGATTCAGATCAATATAAGCACCTCTGATACTTCTTTCTTTAACCAATCTTGTTGAACATGACCAGTAAACTGTAGTACAGATGGTGGCAACCGTACAGAAAGAATATCAATAGGAGAGTAGCGGAAAAACACCACCATACTCCCCAAGCTGTAATAGCAAAAATAATAAAAGTTAAAATAATTGACTATTTATAAATTGTGCAGATACAAAAATGTTGTGTTAGAATTACGGAATTACCCATAGAAACGTAGGCAGTCTCGTTGAAGAGAATGACCACATCCTGCAACACGATTGGCAGTTGCATGATTTGAAAAACTAAGTTCCAAAAACTTTCCAAAAGAGAGACCCCATGCAGCATCAGACATGATCACTCTATGAGTTGCAGGTGGGACCCCGTCCACATGGGCACACCTCAGACACCTGTGCCACATCCATATCTTTCCTTCTTTTTCACCTGGTAGCTTCAGGGATGGAAGTCGTCTAACATTAATTGTTAGATTCCCCTGTTGGTGAGTGTAGCATACCACATGGGCTTCAGCTGTTTCGTTGCATGATCTACAATTTGATGTCTGAACAGAAACCCCAAATCAAAAGAATGGTAAAGATTCAATCTTTTAATGAAATTATAAAAACCCAGATCAAAAGAAAGGTAAAGATTCAATCTTTTTATGAAACTATGCAAGAAAGATAACAAATTTATATAGAATTAAGTTTTACCTGATCAAAAAGATCATCTTGGAGGTACCTCCCAAGTGGTTTATCGAAGCAGCCATAGAATTTTATACGCAAGAGTCTTGATCGTTCACATATGTTACCATTTAACACGCATCGGCTAGAAAACGATACTAATATGCTTTGATTGTTGTCGGTTGCTGAATAGTATTCATTTGAGGCATCAATTACTTCAAGGCTTTCACCCTTTTCCACTTCATTTTCTTCCACACTAACTGTTAAAGAACAGTCTAACGGGTCATCACACTGTGTAATGACACTTCCATCCTTCATCTGACATGAGGTTTGACTTTGACACTCAGCAGCCACATCATCTCCCTCAGATCTGGGCGAATCCGTAATTTCAAGATTTGACCTTTCGGGCATTACTGTCTTTTTAGGTAAACTAGCACCCTCATCAGCCAAGAAAGAAGTTTCCAGTGACAAATGATAAGCAGCAAAGACAGCATACTGAATAACATGTTTGACTTTCTTTAAATCTTCACGACGCGAGCCTTTTAGCAAGATCTACAAAAATAAAGATGATTAAAACATGAAATTAAAATCAAATTGGATATATATTATATGGTAAATGGAAAAAGGGTTTAGGATTCTTACAGTGCAACCCAACCTCCTGGGACAACCATCAAAGAACATCAAGGTCTTGGATGGCTTCTTGGAGAACTGATTCTCTGCTTCATGATCCTCAGAGAATTTTTCCAATCTAAAAAGCTCACATTGACCTAATCGTGTGGTGGAGATCTTATCTGTAGATGGGGTTATAGGAGCACCTGTACACCTGGATATACGTTCCAATAAAGGTCTTTTAACATTTGAAACCAGTGAAATCTCCTTGGCTAAAAGATACTCTTGTGCATATGAAGATACACTTTTTTCTACCAATAACACATTTGGTCTTCGTGCCTCTATTCTTGAAACAATCATCTTCAAATGATCGATTTCTTGTTGCAGTAGGGTTTCAATGGAAGCAAGCTGATTATGAGACCTTTGATACTCGAGTGCTCCCCCTAAAATAAGCAACCTTGGATTCTTGTACTGTGATGTCATCCGTTTGTGCTTTATGTTTTTTGTACAAACTACTCCCTTAACAAATAAACTGCATCAAGAAAACAACAATATGAGTCTTTCCCATTTTAAACATCATTACAAAAAGGGAAGTAGATTTTTTTGTTTACCTTTCGTGAGGACTTCCAGATGCTATACATTTAATTTTTACATAATCACCAGGATCCATACTGCCACCTCTACTGGTGTCTGGTTTCACAAAGTTTGCTGCTTGCCATGCTAATGATGTTATTATGTCAAGCCATTCATCTGCTTCCATGAACTCTGATTGTAACAGCTGTGAAACAAGAGCCCTGAAATGCCCTTGAACTACAGTCTCCAATGGCTTCTTGTGCTCTGAATTTGGGCCATTTTGAAGTGTATCACTAGATGAGAAAACAGCACCTGTGGGTCCGATTTCATCATCGTCATCATAGTATGAAAAGAAACTGATTTCTTCATCATCTGGTGGCAGAGGAAACCAAATAAGACCATTGTTTTCAAGATCTAATGGCTTGTTGTGTGACGTGTCATCAAATACTGACAGATCATCGTTAGCAGGATCCTCAGTTCCCTGATCTTCTTGCTGTACAGAATGCCTCCTAAGTCTATTGGATGTAAAGTGAACCCTAGAGGGACTGAAATTGTAAAATTCATGGCTTGTATTGACGCTACTCGAATCTACATCTGAAGTATCAAGACTATACGGGCTGAACACGTTCTTTGAAGAATCCCCTGTTTCATCTTCATCACTCCTATAAAAAAGGAAAATTTTAGATAAAAGATTTTATCAAATCTTGATGGATATAAATTACAGATGTAGTAACATACCTGATACAATTTGGTGAAGGTGGTTCTGGGCTTTGACGAGGTGAATCAGAAGGATATATCTTATGACTAAATTTTCCCCCAATTTTTTGTTTAACATCAAGATTTCCACAAAATCTGCAAGATCGGAGGTGAAGTCCAGCTTGCGTGCCACTTTTGGATTCAACAACAACAAAAGAGCCATAGCCATAGCCCTGCACACACCTCTCGCAAAACAATCGGCTACATTTCTGACAGTGATAACCGAGGCAAGACTCAGAAACTTTGATTTCGCATTGGCAACACATGGTTTGACCACCGTCAGCCATTTTGACTTCGCCGGAGATGGAAGTTAGGTCACTTGCTCCCCAATAAATCCAAGATCTAACCTTTTCAATCAAATCTAGTAGTGTGTTATCAGCAACTCCCATCAAAACCTCACACCCCAATTCCCAATTCTCCTCCTATCCTACGAAACTAAGAAACAGAAAAGTTTAAAACCCAAAAACTAAAAAAACAACTTGGGTTTTTTTTGGAAGTTTTGAGGCTGTTTAACAAGCCTATGAAGTTAATTAAGATGGTTTTTTTCTTTTGAAAATGGAAAGATTCAAGAAAGGAACAAAAAGGTCTCCTTGAAATCACGAAAAAATCTCAAATTAGGAATGTATGTACACAGATCTTGTTACTATAATCACACATAGAGAGCCCCTAGAAGATTTAAGACCACCACAACAACAAATAGAAAGTGTTTTTTTTTTCTTCCTTAGCTTCAATATCCGTATGTAAAGCCCCACAAAACGTAACCCTAGCTAACCAATACCAGAATCATCGAGAATAGAAGTTCCCAAAATCAATTGGAGCATCAAACAAACGAGATCCAGGGTTTAACCACCAAAAAGAGATACAATTCAGATCATATGCCACATGAATCCCATGGTTAATTCGATCGACGAGGGTCTGAACAAAAAGGAACAAACCCCCATGTTTGAAACGACAAAAAGTAACACAAAACTTCAATTTCCTCCCAAAAGTAAAGTATCAAATCAGATGATTAACGAGAGTATAAGAAGAATTTATAGAACACAGAGGACGAGGATAAAGAGGAGGAAGAGATAGAGTACGGAGAAGGTTCCGTTTAGGGCTCGCATCTCCATATCAACTTGAATCATCTGCTGCTGTTTCTTCTTTTTCTTGAGGAAAAACCACACTTTTTTCTTCTCGCTTTCCCGAATTTCGCGGCAATGCTTTCATTTTCACTACTCAACTACATTTAAAATATACATATACACACGCATACACTGTAATTCCATTATTATTCTATTCTATTCATGTAGTAATGTAATCTTATGTGTTTGTAACCCTAATTTCGCTCTCACCCTTTTTAGACTGTCACAATCCTTATCTAATCTAATCGAATCTCTTTACCTGGGTTTTGTAATGACCCTGACCCCCACTTGGAAAGCGAAAACTTTCCCTTTTTTAGTTTATTTGCTTTAAACCCCCCTCACGTTTTTAGCAAAATATGTATCTCACCATTTATGTTTCGCAAATTTCATTGTTAACTTCCAAATGATGTTTTATTATATGGTCTAAAAATCAAGTTTAACTTTAAACACCATGTAAATAGATGGATCTACGAAATTCTCATATGTATGTAAAAGTTAATGCTAATAAAAAATGGTTAATATCATAAAGTATTTTGTATTTTAGATTAAACCTAAATAAAACTATGTTTTTCTATTTTTTTTACGATTTGATTCTTTTATAGATTTACGGTTAATCTTCTAGTTTTAAACAAATTATTCGGGACGGACAAAATAAACCCTTAGCTTTTGTTTTTTTTTTTTCCGAAAAAACTCTTGCTTTTAAAAAAAAGGCAAAAAGAAGCCGAAGGTTTTTCGTTAAAAAAATAAAAACTTTCAAAATTTTTTGGGAAAAATTGTTTAAACTGAAAAATTATTAATAAACCCGCTAAAAATACAAAATCAAAACAAATGTAAAATAGAAGTGTTTTATTGATTTAATATTTAATCTAGAAAGAAACCTAAATAATAGAGTCTTTAATATTATGCCAAAAAAAACTTTGAAAAAAAATACTAACTATAATAAATTAAAAAATTAAACAACACATTCATTATATCATTAACTGTTGCCCACATACCAAACACTGCTAATCACATTAACACGATCTAATAATCTAATTGTTTAAACAAACCATTTAAATTTATCAAATAATCAGAAAATTAATATAACTACTTAAGCATATCAAAACAATTGACATGATAATGGAATGGGGACAACATTGTATTAGAGAAACACATTTTAGATAGATATTATCATAATTGTAATATAATCGACATCAATAACAAGTATACAATATAATGCACAATTACATTATTCACATGCTACTCATAAACATTATTCACATGAATGAGAATGTAGAAAATGATTATCAATATCTTTAAAAAACCTTTTGCACGATCTTAACAGTAACATTGGGGCTCCTCACAAGTTTTTTTTTTTCCACTCTTTTCCTTTTCTCTCTTTTTTCTTTTTCTTTTTTTGTTGTTCTATTTACCTTCTTCTTTTCTTTTTTGCTCTACCCATATTTTCATGCCCTTTTCTCTTTTGTTTTCTTTAAAAATATCTATATGAGCAATTTAAAAAATATCCTTGTAAAATATCTTTTTGCTAGGATTGATTTTATAATCTATTGTGATGAAAAGAATAGCATGTGAGCTGAAAGCTTGATTTCATACATTAAAAAAGGACAGTAACAATAAGTATTTTGTGATAGTTTTATTGGTCATTATGTTTTTCATTGTTTTAATAATTGTACCCAACTTCAAAATATGTGTCTCAAATAAAATATAAAATAAAAATAAATAAATAAATAAAATTTTATTCACAAGATATGGTGGTATGTGAAGGCCCTTCTTTGGAGACATTCAGTGGCATCTGACTTCCTTACCTATTCGTTTCGTTGGTTTGGGTTTGTACTCGGTATACGAGGTTTCCTTCTACGTATTTGTAGTCTCGAGGACCCAATCTTGGGCATTACAATATCTTATCTTATTGATAGTGACATATGTGGTATGGACTTTGATTACTTATGTGTTATGACTCGTCTTCGCGATATGATTCCGGGATTCGACTGAAGCGGTTTCACTAATAAGGACCCCCTCCCTTTAAATCCCAAAAAGCATTGGTGTGTGCCCTTTTTAGCAAAAGCGTCAAATATATGGAAGTCGACTTCGGCATTGACTGTCAGACAGAAAACAGTTTTTGAGTGTCTTCGGGCACCTCATGCTCAGGATTTTCTGCTAACTATTCCTATTAATGGCTTTCGTTGGCATATGTCTCCTGTGGAGTATGGAACTATCCTTCGTTACCGCCTCATGATTCATTTATTCTCAATTGACGAGATATGCCTAGTTTGCCGCAATGCATGTTTGGATACATTTGGGAAACATGTGATTCATTATAGAGAGCTCCCTGGTTTCAAGTACAAACATGATGTGGTTAAGGATGTTCTCTTTGATGCTTGTCGGTGTGCTACTATTTCTGCGAAGTAAGAAGCGCCAGTACACTTTTTGACGGACCCGCAGGATGGAAGATCCACACTTAAACCGGCTGAAATTTTGGTCTGTGGATAGGTAGGAGGGAAGCACGTGTATATAGATCTTATTGGGGTCTCTCCTCTCGTCGGTTTAAGGAGCGAGGGTTTCACAGTAGGGCATGCCGCTTTGAAAGTCGTTGCGTGCAAAGTGGTCAAGCACGATAATGCATGTATAGAAAATCAACATGTGTTTGTATCTTTTGCATTTTATACATTTGGTTTTCTCGCACCAAAGGCAGTGGAGCTCCTTAACAGAGTCCAATGGGTCATGCATTCTATTGTCATATCTCCTAGATTCACAAATGTTGTTTTCAAAAGAATTAGTTTTTTCATCTAGAAAGGGCTAGCGGCGCAGCTTGGTGCCCGTTTGCCTTCCATCGATATGTATTAACCTATATTAATCAACTAGGCGAATGCCCACGCGTTGCGTGGAAACACCTATATTGTTGAAGTCTTTACAAATATATGTTTTTTAAGTATAGCAATAATGTTGTTAAATTTAATATAACAATTCGTATACTAAATTGATATAATATATTGATTATTTTGAATTATATGATAGTATATACATCCACTATAAGTGCATAATATCAATCGTTTGAATGACTTATATCCGCGAGTTATACATTAATAAAATTAAATATAACATATGGTAAAATGTTATTTATATTTTTTGTTATTGTTAATTAATTTTTTAAAATTTATTTGCTTAATTTTTTAATTTCAATCATTATAATTATTTAAAACATCAAACATTGTTTTTTTATTTTAAAGGTAACTATATAATCATTTATATGAAGTTATTTCTAACTATTGTTATTGTAAATTATTTTAAGCTACTTATTTAAAAACTTTTAACGGTTATAAAAATATCTTTAAGAAATATTTTAGTTAAATTGAGATGACAATTTAGTTTTTTTTTTTTTTTTTTTTTTTTTTTTTTTTTTTTTTATCACTATAATTTATCACCGTTAACTATTTAAAAAATATTCTTTGGTTTTTTAAGTGGAACTGAAATTTATATTTAAGTTGATATTGTAATGTTATATTTAAATTAACAATTTAAGTATTTTGTCAAGACTATTAAACATTGTAACTTTCAACTGATAATGATTTATATAAACGACATATTAAATCTAATAAATTAACTATAATATGTTAAAACTTAAAGTTCTAACTTTATAAGTAGAAATAAAGATACTATTTTAAAATTAAATTTTGTATATTTTTTATTACACTTTACGTTTGATATTTATTTAACCTTATCAACCAACTTATAATCATTATTAGAAAGACACTACACTTAATCACTTTTAACTATTTACAAAATATTATTTGAGTTGTTTAAGTTAAACTAAAATTTATATTTTAGTTGACCTTGTAATTTTATATTAAAATTATTAATTTAAATATTTTATACAAATTGTTCCAAAATTGTATCTTTAAAATGATAATGGTTTACACCAATAATATATTAAACTAATAAATTAAGTATAACATGTTAAAAGTTAAAAAATATAACTTTATAAGTAGAATTAAAGATATTATTTTAATACTAAAATTTAGTTTTTATATGATTACACTTTATAATGAAATAAATTGAAAAGTCATAGGAGTTTCAAATGAATGTGATGAAAGAAAAAATGTTTCATTTATAATATACTATGATATGATGATATGATATGATATAGATATACATATAGATTCCCTTTTGTTGAAACACCTATATAGTTGAATATATATATATATATATATATATATATATATATATATATATATATATATATACTTTTAATATAACAATAAGGTTGTTATTAAATTTGATATAATAATACATATACTAAATCGATATAATATATCAATCATTTTGAATTATATGATAATATATACATCTATTATAGCTGTATAATCTCAATCATTTGATCGACTTCTATCTGCGAGTTACACATGAATAAAATTAAATATTATATATGGTCTAATGTTATTTATTGTTGTTGTTATTTTTAATTATTATTTTTTTTAAATTTATTTGCTTAATGTTTTTATATCTATCTTTATAATTATTTAAAACATCAAATATATATTTTTTTAATTTTAAATGTAACAATATAATCATTTATATAGAGTTATTTTTAACTATTGTTATTGTAAATTATTTTAAGCTACTTATTTGAAACTTTTAACGATTATAAAAATATATTTAGGAAATATTTTAGTTTAATTGATATTACAATTTAGTTTTTGCATTTCTCACTATAAATTATAATTTTTAACTATTTACAAAATATTCTTTAATTTTCTAAGTAGAATTGAAATTTATATTTAAGTTAATATTGTAATGTTATATTTCAATTAACAAATAATGTATTTTGTCCAAACTGTTCACACCTTGTAGCTTTAAATTAATAATGGCTTACATACAACAACATTTTAAATTTAATAAATTAAGTATAATATCTTTAAAGTTAAAGACATAACTATATATGTAAAAGTAAAGATATTATTTTAAAATTGAAATTTAGTTTATTTATGACTATATTTTAAGTTTGAGACTTATTCAACTTTATTACCCAACTTATAATCATTATTAGAAAGATACTACAATTTATCACTTTTAACTATCTACAATAAAAAAATTGTGTTGTTTAAGTTAAAGTAAAATTTATATTTAAGTTGTTTAAGTTAAAGTAAAATTTATATTTAAGTTGACCATGTAATATTATATTTAAATTAATAACTTAGGTATTTTATATAAATTATTTCAAAATTGTATCTTTAAAATGATAATGATTTACATCCAACAGTATATTAAAACTAATAAATTAAGTATGATATGTTAAAAGTTAAAAAATATAACTTTATAAGTAGAAGTAAAGATATTATTTTAATATTGAAATTTAATTTATATATAATTACAGTTTAGATTTGATATTGATTTAACCTT